GTTATATGATTTGAAGAGAACCCTTCTTGCTTTAAATGAGGATACGACAAAAAAAAATTATGGCGATTATGGCGATCCGAATAATAATTTTGATCAAAAAAAAAAAAAAAAAATTATCTTCACAAATTTTGAATTCAGATATTTTTTTTTAGATGAAAGTTTTTTTCCACGTTTATTGGCTTCAGCACCCATCAAAAATGTATGGCAATTCAAATTGAGTGAGTGATGATGATAATAAATGGTTCGAGATAAGAATGAATAGACACACAATCTTTTTTTTTTTTTTTTTTTGCTTGTTTGTTTGTTATGATCATCACGATAATGTCGATTATGATGATGATGATGATGATGATGATGATTATGATTATAATGATAAAGGTAAATCATAATCGTTACATATGGTAATAATAATCCATTGATTTTGACCGACTAAGTTGACCCATAGCTTTTTTTGTATGTTTCTTGATATTCATCGAATATTTTTTTTTTTTTGCTATAATATAAATGAGGAAAAAGAATGTTTTCGATTATTATTATTTCTGCATTGATTGTCTTTTTTTTTGAGTAATAATAGCCCTCTATTTACACACACACACACACACAACACAAACAAACACAAAAGAGAATTATTATTTCCTGAAAATTTCGTATATCAAAAGGCTAGACATCATCTGCAAAAAAAAGAAGAAAAACTCAATTGACCAAACGAAACAAGAAAATAAGAAAAATTCGGGAATTGGGTGCGAAAAAAAAAATTATCAAGGTCAAGAGAGGGAACAGAAACAGGCTGTATAATATCAATCGTGTCGAATAAGATTTGATTTGATTTGATTCGATTGGATCGGATTGGCCTATGTGTTTTATATGAATGAATTTTGGAGGTAAAAAAAACGCCAACCAAAACCAAATCCATCGACTTAGAATATTGACCTCGAAACAACAACAACACCAAAAATCTTTAACATTTGCATTTTCATCATCCATTATCATCACAATCATCACAAGTATTCTTGTCAGTCGATGTGGATGATGTGAAATTTGAAAATTTGCATATATACAAATTCGAATACATATCATTGAAATGGATATGATGATGTTGATTCTGGGTGTGAGTGAAGTATTCAAATATTATTAGTCTGTGGTCGTCGGTCGATCACAAAGTTTTTCTCTTCACCAAATACCAATTCAATTTTTTTTTATAATCAGAAGAAAAATTTGGCCAAGTACCTTTTAGAATATTGGTCGATAAGTAATGGATGAGGTTAGAGTGGAAGAAAAAATTATCGATTGCATTCGATAATTTTTGTTGTTGTTGTTTTTTTTTTTATACAAAAAACTAGTTTCTATTTGGTCATCGTTGAATTGGATGACTAGATGGATGAGTGGTTAGTATGAAAATCCTTTTGACTTACCTCTTCATTGAAATAATCATATCATATCACATGTTCATAAATATTTAGCTTAAAACATCCATATATGAATGAAAATAACTCAACATTTCAGGTTCAAGGATTCAGATTTATGTTGCTGTTATTGTTGTTTGTTGCTTGAAGAAATTATTAATTGTTTACAACCCGAATAGAAACAACTAGGCCATCAGAATATGGATCATGAGGAGAATCTAATCTGATCATATAATAATTATCATGAAAATAGCCAAAATTCGAATCGATAATTTAATCGATCCGAATTTGGAACCAACAAACAAAAAGAAAAAATGAATGGCCAAACTAAATTTTCTATTCAGGTTGTTCAAAAAAAACAAAAACAAAATGTTTCGATGATAAATGAAGACATTGAATTTCAATTTCATAATCGATGGCCGATGATAATCAATGATGGCCATAATATTAATAATAATAACCATCGATTTGATGGTCGGCCAACTTGTTGCTCACCAATGATGATGATGATGATGATGATTATGATTTGGATTCCAAAAATATCTTTAAAAAAAAAATGCTAAAAGGCAAGAAAAACAAAACAAAAATTTTATGATTCCAATGGAATTTGACTTATTTTTAGACAATGAATGATGGTGGTGATGATGATGATAATAATAATAATTTTTTATGACACCAAACCACCATTGATGACATGTGTTACGAATCGTCGGAAAATTTTCCTGGCCATTTGGGTCAATGCAATCCATGGTCATCAAACACCTACACACATATATATGCACACAATATTTTGAATGATTGATTGATTAAACCATTAGACATTGTGTTCAAGAAACGAAAGCGAAACATTTTTGTTGTTGTTGTTGTTGTTGTTTGGACGGACGAATCACAAATTTGAAGCAACAATAATGTATGATAATTGTTTCCATTTCTTTTTGGTTTTTGTTTTGTTTTGTTAGTTTAAAAATTTGAAAACAAAATTCATCTTCAAAATTTGACGAAGAGATTTGATGCCATAATTATCTTTTTTTTCATCCATCCATCCATCTCGAATCAAATCGAATCGAATCGATCATCAATAAAAACAGCAGCAGCAACAACAACAACGATAACAAAATCGGCCATCCATCATATGTCGATCAATTTGATTCGATTTGTTTGTTATTGAATTGTTTGGTCTGATTATTTGTTTGTTTGTTACAATTCGATTCGAATGATCGATGACTGAATAATTTGATTTTTTCATTTCTCTTTTGATGATGATATTAAATTTTTACTTGAAAATTATCGTTTTTTTTTGAAAAAAAATTCCATTTCAAAAATAACCAATTTTCTAATTCCTACTATAGTGTTTGTTAAATGGATAATCTTTCTATCAATTTATATTATGGTTAATATCGATCGATAGTCGATAGAAAATTATCACCATCAAATATATTCTTTGTACTCATTGATAATGATCATGATGAACAAATGAATGTGGTCATGTGTCATGTTGATATGTGTCGATAATCATCATCATCATCGACCATCATGTTGTTGATCATCAAGAAGAAAGAAAAAAAAATGGCTTGAAGACAAATGAATTTACAACAACAACAACAAAAGGTATCAAAACAGAATGTCTTCATAATAATTGTGTTTTTGAATCGGTTAAATCATTGGATATCAAATCGATGGCAGATCATCATCATCATCATCAACAACAACAATAAATTCAAATTCCCATGACGATAAATTATAATGACAAGAAATCGAAAAATTCCTCCGTTATATACGAATGACATTTGACATAATATCAAATTTAGAATTCAAAAATAAATCATCATAAAAAAAATTGAAACCAGAAAATGATGATCAAACAAACAAGACGTCATAAATTTGTCAGTTGCTTGTTAACCTCGATGACATTTTCGTGTGTGTTTGCGACATCTAAGTAATTTGTATATTGTTTTTATGTTCATACAAAAAATATCCGGTTTTTTTCCCTGCCGAAAAGAAGAAAAATCAAATTTAAATATCTGTTTAAGCATTTTGTATATTATTATGATTTTTATACCTGGTGATGTTGTTGTTTTTTTTTTTTGGCTGGTGACCCAAAGCCAAGTGTGTTCTCATATGATGATTATGATTTGCTGTATTTATATGGACGCATTTATACGACATAATGAGAATGATGATGATAAAGATGAACGTTAAAAAAATGCCATGGCTGTCGGTAGTTTATAAACTGGATTATCGATGTTCTTTTTTTTCTACCAACCATCTTATGTGTTTGTGTGTGTGTTTGATGGGCAACTGATGTAAACATCTTCACATTTTTATGGAATGGAATTTTCTGTTAACCCCAAAAAAAAGAAACAAATGATTATTACCTTGATGATGATAGAAGAGACGAAGACATTTTTAGTATTTTTCTTCTTGTTCATATTTTTCATGACTGGATAATGCATGTGCAGTCTTATTTAACGAACGACATGATGGATTTTGGAAGAAAGAAAAAAGGGTAATTCGTATTTACCCATTATAAAAAAAATTCAAAATCAAGATCAAATCATTAAGATAAATGAGCCGATTAAATTGAAAAAACAAACAAAAATTGAACAGAAATTAAAGTTAATTATGAATTATTTTTTCTTCAATTTAGGGGCCAAATTTATTACCTATCTATTTATATAGCAAGGCAAGAGGTTTTTGCTGTAATTTTTTGTTTGGATTTTGTCCATTTTTTCCAAAAAAAAACCAGACAGATTTAATTCACAGTTTGATGATACTATTAATGATTTTAAGTAATTCTTTTCACTGGAATATTTTCTTTCAAGTCAATTTTTTTCGTCGACTAAATTCATGTTCAAATGAAAAAATCTTGTCGATCAGTGGCTAATGATCCAGAAAAAAAACAAAAGAAAAAAATTAGATCATTTAAAAATTGAATCAAAAAAATCGAATTTGATTTGGATCATCATCATCATTATGTAGATCACGCGATAACATTGATCACGAAAACATAATAATGTTAATGATGTGGACGATTATGATGATTGAAAATTGATTGATTGATTGAAAGAATATATGATCCGTTGTCGAAACTGGTTGGATAATTCGAACTCGAATTTTTTTTTTGGATTTATGAGGAAAAAATCGGGCTATTTCGACCTGTTCATGTCAATAACAGAATGAAAAATTTTTTTTTGCGTGAAAACTGATTGTCACTTTGTTTGACAAGAAGAAGACGAAAAAAAAAATATTTGGTGAATGGCATTACCATTATCCCGAATTTATTTCCCTTCAACGAAGATGACGATCATGACCATCATCATCCACATCAATGGGTAAACCGAAATGAAGATCAAATACTAATACATGGACATAAATAATCGATTTATTTTATCTTTATTTTCCAAGCTATTAATAGCATTTGGAAAGAGAAAAAATATTTAATTCATTTGAATTTTTTGTTTCTCGTCGATCAATTTCCTACTTCATCATCATTATCAATAGAGGAATAAAATGAGGATATCGATATCGAAGTTATCCTAACCGCCGATTCATCTTGAATCTTATACATTGGCATGAAATGCTGCTAGATTTATAAAAATGATAATTAAGATCCCGGTAAATGAATGGTGGAAAAAAATTTTTTTTTCTTCCAACCAACTATCAAAAAAATAATTGTCGGTCAGTCGGTCTAAACATCTACCACCAACAAATTCGTTGACCGAATTTACCGATTATCAACATCATCATCATCATCATCCATAGATAGCCGGGAAATAGAAAAATGAACGATTAAAAAAACCGGTCGATATAATCGTGATTTCAACAGCCGAATTTTTTTCTCTTCTCCATAATTTATCGGCTACATTTGACCGATTCGGATTGGAATTCGGAAACACATCGAACATGCATACAAACATTGCAAACATTACTTCGTTCGAAAGAATGCAAAACAAAATATAAAAAAAAACGGGAATTAATTTATCGCATATCAGCTTGATATTAATGATGACCGATAGTAGTGGTATGACTAACCCTCAACAACCGCTTTGTGGTACCATTACAACTATCATTCGAATCATTGATATAATTGAGCACCTGAATTTTAATATCTTGAACCATCGGAACATGTATCATTCATGAATGGATATCTGACGATAGTTATGGTGATGATAAATATTTTTGTTTATGTGAAACAAATAACTTGATCATCTCATCATCGATCGATAGGAGGGAAAAAGACAAGAGAGAAACAGGGTCAGTAATCAAAGTGAAGGTCAAAGTCGAATATTTTTCTCCGATTTTTTTTTTTTTTTTTTTTTTTGGTTACCGTTCCCGTGTGTAAGAGATATTTTTCGTATAATAATTTCAATAATATTAATCAAATGCAAATAGGTTAATCTTTGATTGAATATAAATGACTTTGATATATTCAATTTTATTGTTTTTGTTCGTTACTATAATTTTAAATTAGAAATTGATGATTTTGAAATTGAAATTTTTCAAAATTTTATTTTTTTTTTTTCTTCACAGGCTTGTCTATTGTTTGCCATTGCCGATCATTCCATTGATTCACCGACACATAAAAGTGATGATTCTATTGATGTTAGTTCATCGATTGGTGTTAGTAGCCATCATCATGATGGTAGTAATGGTGGTGGTGGATCCGATGGATCCTCGAATAGTGGTAACAGCCCACAACATCTGATACCCGGTATGGTTGAAGATCTACTTGCAAATGAATCAACAATGGATGGATCGATACGTATACCAAGTCCGATTGGACCGGCATCATTATCACATGCAGCCGTCGTTGATTCTGAATCCGATCTTATGGGGGCTGAATCGGATTCAAAATTTTCTCTTTCCAAATTGAAAAGACCGGTATGATTTTGATCATTGTTGATTTAAGAATAGTTTGTTATTATAATTAATCATTTTAGTTTGCTCGACTTCCGTTTGATCTCCGATTTAATACACGATTTTTAAATGGCCCATTAATGACATCCAGTTCGAATATGTTACGACAAGTTCATCATTCACATCCTCCACCGCCGCAACCAATGCGTGGTCCAGGACCACAAATGATGCTTCAACCAGGTCCACAAAATATGCGACCATCATTTCCACCAAATGGACCAAATCCAGGTCATCGAGGACCGCCACCACCACAATTTCAACAACACCCACCACCCCCAGGATATGGTAGTCATCAACCAATCTTTAAATCATTACCACCACATGGTTCAAATGGAATTATGCAACCAGGACCAAAATCATTGATGCCTCCTCAACCACAATCACAAATGATGCATCATCAAGGTCCACCACCACCACCACCACAGCAACAACAACAACAACAAGGTCCACCTGGATCACCAGCTCATATCGATATTGAACCAGTAGGTATGAGTGGTATTGATCCAATGGTCCACACTATTGCCGAATATATCGATTCAGGTGATGATAGACACAATGAATTGATCAACGGTAATATATGATATATAGTTTCCAAACTCAATCTCATTCTAATTTGTATCTTTTACATCCAGATTACGATCGTCAAACATCATCTAATGAAATATGGCCTATTGCTCAGCCTGAATTAGCTAAAATTGTTCATTTAGATGTTAAATGTGAAAAGAATTTCATGAAAGTATCAGTTGAATTTGATCGTCCATTCAATGGTATCATCTTCAGTAAAGGACATTTTAGTCAACCGAATTGTATCCATTTGCCATCCGGTTCTGGTCGTTCATCAATTTATTTCGATATACGAATCGATAGTTGTGGTACCACCGGTAATATGGGACCAAATTCATTGACAGCCTATGGCAATGTTAATGCTGGAAACTTTTTCGAAAACACCGTTATATTTCAATATGATCCATTCGTACAAGAAGCCTGGGATCAGGCGCGGAAACTTCGATGCACATGGCATGATCAATATGAAAAATCCGTATCATTCCGTCCATTCCCAGTCGATATGGTCGATGTAGTTCGAGCCGATTTCGCTGGCGATAATGTCGGTTGTTGGATGCAGATTCAAGTTGGTCGTGGTCCATGGGCAAGTGAAGTAGCCGGTATTGTAAAAATTGGCCAAACAATGACAATGGTATTAGCTATCAAAGATGAGGAGAATAAATTCGATATGTTGGTCAGAAATTGTGTAGCTCATGATGGCAAACGAGCACCAATCGAATTAGTCGACACCAACGGTTGTATTGTACGATCGAAACTTATGTCGAAATTTACGAAAATCAAAAACTTTGGCTCAAGTGCATCGGTGTTGAGCTACGCACATTTCCAGGCATTCAAATTTCCCGATTCAATGGAAGTACATTTTCAATGTACCATTCAGATCTGTAAAAATAGCTGTCCGGAACAATGTGATCAATCGGGTCAATCGAATATTCATTATATTAATCATCAGATCACTGGTACAATGCAAAATCTACAAAACCATCGAGATATTATGGGCGGTAGTAGCGGTGGTGACATTTATCTTAGTTCGGATTTGCCATCAGCGGCAGCACAAATCGGTGAACTACCTGGACGATCGGATAATAGTGTATTGGCTCGACCTCGTGAAGTTCGTGATGTAAGTGGTGAATTGAAAGAAATCCTTCAAGAAACAAATGTAACCGCAGCTAAAGAGGTTGGTGTAGAAAAAGTTATACGTGTCATATCGACTGGTGATCTTAGTTTTGCTACATCGGATAAATTAACTGCCGAACAACAATCGATTATAGAAACGAATGAAACATCTAATGGAACATCCAGTAGTCATCCTCATTATCGAATTGGGCCGAAATCTTGGCTCTCGGAAAAGATAAATGAAAAAATTTGCATGTCATCGATTAATTTTCTCGTATGTTTCGTAACATTATCGACTTTGGCATTATTTTTCTGCACTTGTTCAGTGGTTATGTGTTGCCGTAAACGTTCAATTTATGGTGATCATGCGGCTGCAGCTGCCATGTTACATGGTGCCGTACATTTAAATGGCAAATCTTCAAGTAAAAAAACTTCGGCCAAAGAAGCACAGTTGATTAAAAATGGTAAACGTAGTAAACATGAACAGAATAGCCATGATAGTAGCTATGGATCACAACAGACGGTCATACCGGTCATGTCGGGTAATGGTACAAATGGTGGTTATCTAAGTAGCTCATCGATATTATCACCACGGGTACAAGCAACAGCCGGAGGTACAAATGGCTATGTTATGTATCATTAAAAACTGAACCGATTTCAACCAAATCAAAAAAAAAAAAATTTTTTTTCTCCAATTATAATCAATCAATTTTATATGGTGATCATCTTTGGACATTATGAATGACCTATATGCATATATCCATAACAAAGTCCATAAAAACCTTTGACCTTTTTTTTCGATGCAAAAATCAAGCAAAAAAAGCCCTCATCATCATCATCATCATCATTATCATCAACATCATTTTAATTTATTTATTAATCTTTCATTCATAACACACACAAATCTACTTCATATATTGACGACAAAATCCAAATCCACACATACATACATATACAGAAATCCTGCAGCTAAAAAAATTTCCGATTTTTTCTTTCATTTTCACTTATTCATCCCTTTTTTTCAATCTCATTTTTTTTTTCATTGTATAGAATTTTATTTTATATTTTTTTTACGTTTAACATTCATTCCTTGATGAATGATTGAATTTTTTCTCATCATCATCCTCATTATGATTTTTTTCCCACTTCTTAATCATCATCATCACTTGCTTTTATTTTCCTTATTATTATTTAAAATAAAATATGAATAAATTTTGGATCTATATCAGAAATATCAGATCAATTTTTTCCCTCCACGGTAAATAGATGAATGATTCTAACGGGAAAAAATTTTAAATTTTTTTACATAATTCGAGTTCATTTCATGATTATAAGGAATTTATGCATTTTTATCTGTTATGTGTGCTGGTTTTTTTTTCTGCTAAATGTTCATTTGAATATGAATTCATGCGAAATTAATCTTATCTTCATATACGGCAACCAATATCATGAAACAATAACCAGAAATTATTCCAATATTTTTCATAAGAAATGATGTCCACCATTGTCGAGTGGAAATTGAATTGGTCATCTCTTTAAGCTCAGGTAACTATAGGTTGGTAAAATGGAATGTAAAAAAAAATTCCATTGTTTTTTTGTCAGTTTAGTATTTGCATAACATTACTTACCATATCACAGAGTGCGATGTAAAGGAAAAGACCAGCACATATGGCCAAAGCCCATCGATTAGCCTGATCCGAACTGCCCAACAATAGGCCAATATAAAGTCCAATGAAACAAGTCAATGCGGAAACAAAATTGATTGTTGCTGCACGTCGTACAGACATTCCGGTCGATAACATCACAGCAAAATCACCAAATTCATGCGGTAATTCATGACAAAACACAGCAATAGATGTGGATAATCCACGTGAAATACTATTTGAGAATGAAATTCCGATTGCAACACCATCCAGAAGATTGTGTATGGAATCGCTAAGCGTAATAATTAATGCTAATGATGTCATTCCCAAACAGATGATACCACCATCATTTTTACTATCATCATCATCATCATCATTTTTAGTAGATATTTTATCAACGATCAATGTTGTATTTGAATTTGATGATGACAATATTGATGGACTTAACGTGTTGGCTGAATCTTCGATTTTATTATTAGAAGATATTAACATATTCGTAATTGCCATTGCTGTCGGTGGCATTTTTGATGAATCACATGAAGACTAATAATAAGAAAAAATCTTATAATCTTAGCATTCGATTATATGGGTGATAGATATTTACCTGAATCGATAATGTTGAATCTTTCATTCGATTATTGTTTGAACGTGTAGCATCACTTGTGAAATGTCCATGATGATGATCATGATGATGTTCCTGATGATGATGATGATGTGGATAATGTTGTTGATGATGATGAGAATGGCCGGATTCTTTAGCGGATTTTTTTCCATCCTCTTTCAATTTGGCTAATGCATTTGAGATCACTTCGAAAAGAAATAGTACATAAATTGATGCAGAGATGGCAACCATAAACCAAAGAAATTCGAAATGATTTTCATCATTATGATCATCATGGGGATTGGTTGAATTTTTTTCATCATGTTTATCATGTGAATGAATACCAAGAACGGCTGGAATCAGATGAAATAATGCATCACCAGACATTGAACTAAATGCTAAGCCAATCAACAGCTGTATGGTCAATGTAAATGCACGACTTTTCAGTATTGGTATGAGCAATATACCGGCCAAAGATGATAGACTTATGATGAGAACAGAAATATTGCCATATAGGATAGCTAATAATTAATTGTTTGAATTTATTTCAAATTCAATGTAATGAAATATATGAAACAAAGTAAAGTGTAAAAAAATTTAAATTCCAAACATAAAATTGAGCTTACCATTACTAATGTTGTTGACATTTTCCATCTTTTCAACCAATTTATCGTCAGCATGATTAAAATGATGACTAGATTCAGACTGAAGTCTTTCATGTGATATTTTTCTTTTTATAACACCATTATCATCATTGCCGCTATCGATCATTATACGTTCACAGGCTTTCGAAAGAATTTGCTGTAGAAAAATTGGCGCTAAATATTCAAGTTCTTTTTCAGTTAATAAATTCACTTCCGAAGAATTTTTAGCATCGTTTCGATGTTTCATATGATGTTGAATTTGTCTGATTCTTTCCACATAGAAATCATATTCATAGCATTCAATATTCTTTTCAATTGGATCATCATTATTTTCAATCGAATTCATAAGAAATTTAACCTGATGATTGTGGTGATTCTCGTGTGGTGCAGATCGATGTTCACGATGTCGAGTTACGGTTGATTCATGATTCGATTGATTGATTAGACCACCAATATGTAGATCATTGAGTAATCTGGCCAATCCATATTGATCAATGATTACGAGATTTTCGTTTGAAAATGATGAATGTATAGCAGATTCAGATGTAGAACGTTTTATACCATATCTATCGATTATATCACGCAAAAATCTTGATTCAAATAATTCAATTCTTTCACCTTTGACCAATCGATTAACAATGATTAATGCCATCGTTTCGATAATTAAACCAGGATCATTATTATTCAAATTATGGATACGATTCAGATCATCGATAATATTTTCACGTCCAAACCATTTTTCCAATTTCATCGATATATTTGATGATGATGTGATCGGTGGTAATGAAATTAGATTACGATTTAAATGTCGTAATAGATTATCAAGATTTTGTATGAATTCAAATGAAAACATTGATAATGATTTTTCACTTTTATTCATTGTACGTTGTGATTCGGCCAAAAAATCCGGCATTAATAATGATAATAATTGTTGTCGATTTTTTTCATAATAATTAATATGATGATTTGATAATGAATCAGGACAAATCGATTCTTCTTTAATGATAGTGATGAGAAAAAGTGAAGAAAGACAAAAAAAACAACATTAATAAATCTGTATCAATAACTGCTGCTATTGTTGTTGTTGTTGTTGTTGTTGTTGTGGTAATTGAATTATCTAAATTATTATTTTTACTTTTCCTACCAATTGGAAATGTTTGGATGATGAAATTTTTTTTTTTTTTTGTTGGAACAAGCAAACGAAAAAAACAAACATTTTTGTTTTTATTTCTCATAATGAAACAAAAACAATGATACAATAACAACAATTTCGATGATGATGATGTAATCGATGTTTGTTTGTGTGTGTGTGTGTGTGTGTGTGTGTGTGTGATGAGATTTTCTTGTTTTTTTTCACTAACAAAAATCTATGATTAAAAATTTGACATTTTGTTCTTGTCAGATGTTATATCATTGTTGTTTATTTTAAATTTTTTTTTTCTGTCATGCTTGCTTTATTATTTTAACTGTTTAACATTTTGGTTCACTTCAATTCATTCAATCATTGATATTTCATCACAATACAATTGTTCAATACACATGTACTATCTATTTATCTTTTTTTTTTTTTTTTTTTTTTTTGGTTATCCTTGAAACTTATCTTATGAGATTTATTAGTCTATCACCATCATCATCAATCTGTGGTTATGGTGATGATGATGATTATGAAATTTCCATTACATTTTTCAACAAACAATTATGATGACATTGAATGAAAATGAAACAAAACATTAATTTTCGTTTCTATTTCTCTCTCATACACACATTGTTATACTAATAAAATATCAAATGAATAACAATAACTTACTCGATAATCGACATTCAAACCATGAATCTAGATGATGTTGTTCCACCATCTTACCTTGATCTTGATTTTCATCGTCATCAATCAACGAATTTTCTTCCGTCCATTTTTCACGAAAACGATCTAAACGTATTATATTTGTTAATAATATGGTTGCCATACGACGTCGTTGGTTTGATGTAAGATTAATTTGTTTGGAATGATCATTTTGTTCTATCATAATACGTACATTGGCCATTGTGGCCAGATTATCTAGATTGGCTAGACACTAGTTCAAAAAAAAAAATCAATCAATCAAACGAATTACGACATTTTGTAATGACAATCGGAATGAAAAAAATGAAAAAAAGAGTTATTATAAAAGATAATGACATTCAAATTTCAAATTAAATTGTCATTTGTAGATAAGATTTGAAATTATATAATAGATAATTTCCATAATAATGAAAGAAAAAAAATGGCCATTGGCATAACAATTTAGATTTCGTGAATTGAAAAAAAATTATCATTATCATTATCATCATATATATAATGATAATGATTACTTTTACGCAATCTTCATCAGAAAAAAGGAAACAATGATAAGGAGAGTGCAACAGCAACAACAACATCCGTATCGATGAGAAAAACAAAATTTCTGCCATCAATTCGTTCGATTTGTGTGTGTTTTTACTTGGTTAGTCACAAATGCACACACACACACACACACATTTTAATTTTGGGATTTACCTGACAAGTTGATTGTAAACAATGTTTCAATAATGGTTGAAATCTTGAATTAAATCGTTTCATCCATATTTCAGCTTTTGTGTAGTTCGATATTTTTGGATGACGTTGATGTTTTTCCGTTATGGTTGAATGATGATGGTGATGATGATTTTCCGCCGATGTCGATGATAATGGCAATGAATCATCAATAATTGATGATGTTAATAATGGTTGCCAAACAATGGCTAAAATTATAATGATGATAATCAAATTAATCGTTGATAATGACCAGATTCGATGATCCATTATTGATATGTGTATTGTAGATGATAAATTGATTTTTTAAAAAAAAGGATTCAATAAAGAAGACAAATTTTGAATGACACAAAAATTATCACATAAAATTAGCAATATGACATCCACACACACACACACCAAATAAAATAAAATGTTATTAAGGCCAAGAATGTTTTAAATTTTCGAATGTCAAAAATCACGTCTGTTCATTTTCATTTGATAACAAAATATAACTGATGATGATGATGTTCGATTCATGTTTGATGGATGAAATATCGATATCGATAAAAGAGAGAAAAAACTGTTTTTTCTGTTTTTTTTTTTTTTTTTGATTTTGAATCAGAATGCAACACAAACAAACAAACACACACACACACACACATGAAATGCAATCATCACCGGATTTCAAAAATCAAATTTTCGAACAAGAAAAAATGAAAAGAAATAATAAACAGAAAAAAACGGAAAAAAATGAGTGATTCAAGAATCGATTCGATTCGATTTCGAATCATAAAATTATCGACAATTCAATTAAACATTGAATAATAATCGATGATGTATTATCGATTCAATTGTGTTGATTATTTATTATATCGATGATTATTAATTAATTTGATCCAATCGAATTAATAGATCAATACTAAATCGTTTGTCGATTTGTAACGATAATGATAATGTGGCAATCAACGTTCGCATCAAATAACTGAAAAAAAACAGGCCGTTATAGATATATATTGACTACTTATATATGGTGGATATAAAATGAAATGGACAATTTTCATTTCATTTACAACCAACACACGAACATACAGTATAAGAAGATAATAATAATAATAATAGGATCTACGTATTTTTCGTAAATGTTTTCATTTTCATTGAGAGAAAAAAACCAATTAACATGCGCCGGCCAATTGGATTTTTGTGATTGTTTTCTACTGTTTGTGTGTTTGTGTGTGTGTGTATGTATACAATACATTTCATTAGAGACAAATAGATATACGGTGATGGAAATTTATAGTCAAATAACATTTCAATGACTCCTGTCTATAATGATGATGATTATGTTGATAATGACAACAACGGTAAAGATAGAGAGAGAGAGAAATGTTAAAACAACAAAATCTTTTCTACGTTTTTCATCATCATTGAATTGAATTTTATTTAAAAAAAATGACAACGACACCATCTTTTTTCTACATCATCGATAGCGATGATAATTTTTTCTCGAATAAAAGGATGAATGATGAATTTTATGAGATTTAATTTGTTGAATGATAACTGTGCATTGCATCCGGAAAAACAAAAATACAAAACAAAAAAAAAAACAATGAAATAAAATTTCGATTAAATCAGTAAAAGAATCTTACCACGATGATGATGGTGAAGATGATAATTTGGTGATTTCAATATGATGATGGTTGTTCAATTTCTTCAATTCATAGAATTTTCACACGCACACACACATACACACATGGATAAATTCGAATACAATCAATCGATTAATAATATCGGTTGTATCGAACGGATATGAAAAAAATCGAATTTTCTCAAATGGCCAAACAATTTTGTAAAACTTCAGTCACTGCTGTTTTTTTATAGTAGCTAAAGATTCTAACTAATTTGTCGTCTTTTATTTGTTTCAATATGTTCATGAAGAATTTTTCCACTTCAAATTATCAATAAAATTGGCCATTATCAAATGTGTTGGAAATGGCCATTTTATTTTGGGTGATAACGATAATGACACATTCAAGGTTATCCAGTTTTTTTTTCTTCTTCAAAAAATGACCACTAGTAGTATAGTGTGAAATGAAGAATGAAAATAATAATAATAATCGCTATATGATTAAATTTGATTATCCATCCATCCATCAATCCATTGGGCTGTCTTGAAAATGAACTTTTTTCAAAAAAAAAAAAAATTTCACAAAATGAAGAATTTACTTCAAGCACATAACCTTTGGATAATAATGAGAATTATAATTAAAATGGTGGCAATGTGTACATGCAAAACTTGTATTCAATATTTCCGATTAGGAACAAATTATTTACTCGGTGACCACAATGTTCATGTATGGTGATCATCATTCATACATTCTAATTATTAGAGCTACATAATTTAATAATTTTTTTAATGAAAATTCTTTTTCCATCGTTATAACAACAACAACAACAAAAAAAATTCACACACAATTCATGAAAAAAAACGAATAATTAATTAGGTCATAAAAAAATAATAGTTTCAACAATGGATTATGACTAAAAAAAAAATTGCAGCATTTTGCGAAAAAAATCACCACCACCACCATCAACAGTAATAATGATTTTCAAATTAAAATATCACTGTCATCATTTTGAATTGGAAAAATTAAAAAGTCAACAAATAAAAAAAAATCATAAAATGAAAATGATTATTACAACCACGATAAACAACAATCTGTCAAGGTTATCCGTGTATGTTTCTTTATTGAATTCAATTTGTACGAAAATTTCAGAATTTGAATTTGAAACACCAGCGGTACAAAAACCACCACCATTATCAGTAATATAATGTATAATATTCATTCAAATACAACGTACGTATACAACTAATTACTTATTGGTTATCATTTTTTTTATGATAAGCTCATTATTAATCCAATTCACGTATCGAATATGATGATGATGATGATGATGATGGGCGTAACAATGAATACGAAACCCATTTTTTGGGTCTTATGATCATTCATTGTATTCCATTGTGTTTGTATGTCTTGTATAAAAAAAAATTGACCATTTTTATCGAAATTTGAATTAAAATGCATAAATGAATGATGATCCTGTTATTATTAATATATTAGATCAGAATTGTAAATTCTCAGAATTATTATTATTTTATGTTTTTTTTTGTTTTTATCCTAAAACATTGGCAATAATGATCATGGTCATCATCATTATGATTGATGATGATCATGTCGAATAGTCATGATAATGAAAATCCTTTGGTGTTTTCTCTCCACACTCAATCACACTGTTCCAATGTCAATTCGGGAACATTTTTGGCCTATTAATTCTCATTTGAAACTTTCAATCACATAGAAAATAATCCAAGAAACATAATTGTGAATGAAACCCATTTTAATTTATGTATAAAAAATTGTTTTCATTTTCGCACTATTGGTTTGTATAAAATTGTTATTTTGAATTGAAAAAAATTTTCTGAGGTATCCATAATATTGATTGAAAAGAAAATTTATCAAATGGATTTTGAATTCATCATTTGATAATAAAATTAACGATATCGACCTCTGCTACGATAATTTTTTTCTCGAGTTGTTGGTGGTGGTCCATCATATGGATATCCATAATCCATAGGTGGATCAGGCGGACTTGTAGCTACCTGATAATCATCATAATATGGCCCTGGTGGTGATGGACCAGGATATTGATGACTATGTGTTAATGATGTTGATGGCATATATGGTGGACAATCATAAGGAGTAAAATGAGGATCATAAATGGGCTGTTGAGATTGTGGTGGTGGTGGTGGCATTGATAATATCGCATTATTATTATAATGATGATCATATGGTGATCCAGCTGGATATGGCTGCATTGATGGTGGTGGCGACAGTAACATAGAATGTTCCGGAAATTCGTTATAACGATCATGATGATTATAGCCGTAACGATTATCATTGTCAACTAACAATTTTTTATCAAAATGTGGATTATAATCGGAATCTGAATCATAATGACGTCGATAACGCCGTAATCGAGCAACAATTTTTTCATGATCTTTTCTTGAATTCGAATATTTTTTTACAATGGATTTTCGTTCATTATGTTGTTTAGCGGATAAAAATTGATCAAGAAATTTTTTATCTGTATGGCATTTTTGTTCAAATGTTTGAAGAGAATCCAGATAACGATAATAGTATGATTCGGATGAAAGTTTTGGCGAGAGATTTAGACGTCGACCATGTAGACTGATTCCCCACATCATTGCTCTGTGAGAATAGAAAAAATGATAAATTTACAAAAATACAATTAATTTACTTTAAAAACTTACAAAGCATAGGCAACCGATTCTGGCTTAGTGTAGCCAATAAAGACAAAATCACGTTTAAGAACAACATTATTGATCGGTCCAAAATTGGAGAATAATTCTTCCAACAATTCTTTAGTTGTTAGATTGGGATCAAAATTTCGAACTACCAATGTTCGTTCTTCAAGTTTTTGAAAACTTTTATCCTTTTCCGACATCAAAATTGCTGAATGATGATTAAAAAAAGTGAAAAAAAATTGATTAGAAAAAAGAATAAATATTCCTGAAACAAACAAATAAAAAACATGTTAGAACAAACAAAAACAACAACTGCTCAAATACAATGATTCTAATGCTGCCATCTGAAGGCGGTTTAAAGTATTTTTTTTTCCAAATCATAAAAAAATTCGAATTTGAAGAAAAAAACTTTTTATTCAACAAAAGTCTTTTAGCAAATAAAAAGAATGATGATGTTTGGCCCAATCAAATGATGTCCGTCCGCTGCGTGTGTGAATGTGATTCGGAGACATTATGAATGGTTAAATTATACATTTGTGGCGATTTATATTTGATGATTATGAATTATAAAAATTAAAAAAAAAAATTTTGTTTTTTTTATGTTTTCCAACAAAATTGTCATTTAGGTTTTTGTTGTTGTATATAAGCGACAAGTTCGTTCTGTGTTTGTGGAATGATGGTGGATTGGATTTGGAAGCAAATGAAAAAAAAGGAAAAAAAACAAACAAAATTTTTAAGCAATGAAATTATCCAAGAAAAAAAATTATCCATCCATCACCAAAAGTTGCTGTAGTTATTGTTTGAAAAAATATATTCTCTCCCGGAAGTATAAATGATTTGTTTTTTAATGCATGTGTGCAATCTGTCAATGAATATGGTTTGATTTTGTTTGTTTCAAAACGGTTCATCATGAATAGTGTCATTTGATGATGAAGATGATGATGATGGAGACAAAAATGATGATTTTTAATGATGGTAAAATGATAATGATAAGAAATATGTTAATTCTTCTGGACATTTTTGTTGTTGTTACGTTTTTAATTTCGTCGTTCTTTTTCAAAATTATTGCTTGGTAGTCGTCGTTGTTATTGTTGCTGCTACTGCTGCTGCTGCTGATTCAATCACTTCAATTTCATCGGATGATTCGGACAATTTCTTTTCATCATCATCATCGTTGTGTTTGGCATCTAAAAATGAAACTTTTTTACCAATCGTTTCTGTAATACCCATATTACCATTATTTGATTCTTGTTCACTGCTATTGATGACTTCAATTTCATCATCATCGGTTATTGTTGATGATTGTTGTTGTTTATGAGTTTTTGTTGATGATTTCTGCTGCTGTTGTTGTTGTTGTGCTCCATTATGGACATCTAAATCTTCTTCAAAATCGGCACGTTCTAATATCTCCTCTTTGGATCGTACTAGACGGCCAACATAATCATATTTTTCCTGAAATTGTTCATTCCATTCCATAACGGATGATAATTCATTCTGATCTAAATCGGTAATATCATCCCATTCATCTTTGACGGCCATCACATCAAATTTAGCCAATGCACGACTTGCATCACGACCGGCAAATGTAGAATAAGCACCACCAGGGGCCATAATAATCATAACCTTTTGTACAATCATAAACACGACCTAATATAGCGATGCATACACGTTTATCCGGTGCAGTGCCATCATAACGTCGTAATTCATCCAATGTCATATCATGTTTAGGTAATGGATCCGGTAATCGAAATCGTTCACGTTCATCATTTTCTGTTTTGTTTAACAATAATAATAAAAAAAAATTCATTAAACTCGAAACACTCCGAAATAATTATTGACAATTCAATTCTAGCAAATACTTTTTTTCGTTCCAAATAATTTATACAAAACATAAACAATCAAAATGGCCAATATGGTATTTGTAAAATTCAATACATCCATTGCTGAACCACTTTGTTGTTGCTGTTGTTTTGGTTGTTGTTGTTGTTGTTGTTGTTGAGGCTGTTCTGTACGAACATCAGCTTTCGATTCGGTTGACATGTTGTTCACAATTGTTTATTTATTTCAATTTTTTTTGTTGCTTCAAATGATCTATTGGAAAAAATTGAAAATTGTCTGCGTTTGGTACAAAATAAAAAAGATAAAGAAAGCAAAAAAAAGACAAAATTAGTGATTATTGTTCATAAATAATTATTATTATTATGAATGATCAATATTATCAATTGGTACGACAAAAAAAAATGAAAGTTTAAAACAAACGAAAAAATAAACAAAAAAAAAACTTTAATTAAAACAAACAAGAGAGAAAAAAAATGAACTTAAATTTTTGTACCGTTAATGAATGAATGGGTAAAACAGAAAAAAAAAATTTTTCTTTCCTCACTGCTAAATGGAAATCTTATCAAACTCAAAACACTCAAAGTGATATGAGCAAACGAAAAAAAAAATTGAAAACAACCAACCAACCAAAAAAAAAAAAAACTTATGGCTAGTTATATTGATAATGATTTTTACATTTCTTCTTTTTTTTCTCTGACTGACAATTGAAAATCAACTTGTCATCATCGTTGTTTCACAATCATCAATGTGAAACACTAATTTATCTTATCAAATATACACAGTTGTGCTTCTTATTATCATCAATTTTTCATATATGAGAAAGTAAAAAAAAAATTCGAATCGAATCGATTAACATTTAATCAATGAACATAAGAGAGAGAAAAAAAACGAATATCTTCCGAAGCCAAAAAATAAAATTAATTTTCAAATTGAAAATTCAGAAATAAATTTTTTTTCTTAAAAACCTAACCTCATTAGAAACAAACTGTAAAGTAAAAAATAAAATAAAATAAATTCACATAAACAATTTCCTCAATGCAAAGGGAAAAAATTTAAAAATTTTTTCAGGTACATCATCATCATCAATCGTTAAAAAACATCATCATTTTCTTTTTATATTGGTACATCGATCATTATATATGGTGTTGTATGTTTGGTGTCTTGATTTATGTAAACAAAACACGATTGATGATGATGACAACAACAATGATGATGATAATCGTATTGATCAAATCATCGAAATAAAAAAAACAGAAAAATAAGATTGAATACCCGAAAAAGAAATGAAATAAGAAAATGAAAATTTTTTATTATTCTTACACACACACAAAATACAAACCTTAATAAACGTGATGATGATGATTATGGATTGATTGAAAATCGTCAAGATATGATTATAAATCGTTGTCAAAATACTTATTGATTGAATATAAATCTTTTTATTATTCACTATTCGATTGATGAATCAATACACATACACATACACACACACAAGCACACATGAATAATTATAATATTCGAAAATAAAAAATAATCGGGAATGTTGTTTGTTGAACAACAGTGATGTAAATGTGCTTTGTACACAAAAAAAAATTTTTTTCTTATAGCTCAAATATCAATTATCGCTTAAAAATTAATATATTTATAACACAACACATAGGAACATATATGCAGAAGTAGCAGGAGCAGTAGTAATAATAATAATAATATTGATAATGATGATAGCTAAAAATCGAAATAACAAAGAAACAAAATGAGAAAAAAAAACTAAATCATTCCACAAACAAAATATATGAATAAATAAATAAAATACATACATTTGTGTAGTTTTTCTCTTGCCAAACTATATATATACTAAATGATGATTCGTAATATCAAGGCAAATCGAAGGAATGATGTTGATGATGATCAATCAAGAATCATTATGATGATGATGATGATGATGATGATTATGATATCATGGTATGATCATCACATAACACGTAACCATATTAGTTAGACACTGATTTTCAGAAAATATAAAAACAAACGCAAAAAAATTTCTTAAATTGTCTTGAAAATGAAAATAATAACAACAAAAATGTTGGAATATGCGCAATATGAAACCATTTGCAATATATTGAATTACAAAGGGAATGCACAAAATACATGTGCATCAATTGGATACCATTTTTTTGTTTCTCACTCTTTTCCAATTTTGATGATGGATTTTTTTTTTGATTTATAACAAAATAACAACATTCACATAATACAGTGGTACCTAGATTGATTGAATTAAGGCTGCTGTTAAACATTTAATCGAGTGGATATCTTCATTGTTAAGACATTTTTTTCATGTATAAATCGAAGCATAACTGTAAATCAAATACATTCAATAGTAACAATAGTATTGGAACAATAGTATATTTATATGCATTAGAACTGATATATATACTTGTTTTGACTGTTTTTATTAAACTTGCTTTGTTCTTTTCTGCGATATTCATATTTATTGTGCATTACTCGGCATAATTATTTTATCAGGCTCTCATGACTCTACGTACTCTTCATCTTGCATCTTAACCGATTCAACATATTCTAGATCAGGGCTTCTTAAAATATGGGTAGCGACCCCAAGTGGGGTCGCGTAGCAAAATTTTGGGCTCGCGAGAGATTTTAATGTCAAATATTTAAATACACGATTTTATGACAAATCCAAAACTAACACGACAAGTCCAAAATCGAGAAAATGACAAATTCAACGTAACACGACCAGTTCAGAATTCAAAATTCAAAATCGAGAAAATGACAAATCCAACCTAACACGACCAGTTCAGAATCGAGAAAATGACAAATCCAACCTAACACGACCAGTTCAGAATCGAGAAAATAACAAGTCCAAACTAACACGACCAGTTCAGATGGTTAGTTATTGGAATTAGTTTCCAGAATTGGTTGGTGAATAATGTTTGTTACATTCAATTAATTCGATATGTATCCAATGTTCTGCCATTGAAGATGAAAATATTTATTTTCAGAATATGTTGTTGTAATTTTCCACACAATGAATAACATTAACAAATGATCATAAAAAAAAATTTTATCTGATTCGAAAAAATGTTGTAAAAGTCGATAATAATTCAAATTCAGTTTGGACTTGTTATTTTCTCGATTCTGAACTGGTCGCGTTAGGTTGGATTTGATGTTTTCTCGATTATGAATTTTGAATTCTGAACTGGTAATGTTAGTTTGGACTTGATATTTTTTCTATTGTGAATTTTGAATTTGAATTGATTGTGTTAGTTTGGAATTGTTATTTTCTCGATTCTGAACTGGTCGTGTTAGGTTGGATTTGATGTTTTCTCGATTCTGAACTGGTCGTGTTTAGCTACGCGACCCCACTTGGGGTCGCGACCCATAGTTTATGAAGCCCTGATCTAAACAAAAGGCAGACTGGTTCACGAAATCGTTAACACCAGATATACATGAGTGATTATTGAAATGCTGGAATATTACAAATCTTTGTTAACATATATTGAATTACTATATGTTAACAATGTTTTGTAGAACTACTTGGAACAATGGTTCCGTTTATAGTATATTTATATGCTAACATTAGAACTGAAATATATACTTGTTTTGACAGTTTTTAAACGTTTATTTGCTTTCAGTTCTTTTCTGCGATATTCATATTTCTTGTGCATTACTCGGCATAATTATTTTATCAGTTTTCTATCTGTTGTGCAGCGGTAATAACTTCGTCAGAAAAAATTTCTCTGCCAGTCGATCATTACGCTTTCGCAAATGGTGATTGATCATCAATATAATAAAATGTTTCAATTCTGTTTTTGAACACAATTAAAACCAAATAAGAAGCAGCAGAATTATTGATTAAATTCACCATAAATCTGCAATTACTTTATAATAAGAAATAAGAATAGATACAAAATACAAACAAATCGTGAAACATAGTTCAATAATAATACAAGAAAATTATTTTGTGAGATCAATGGCATGGAACATACAATAGTTAATAATTCTCTAAAACAGAATGAAATTGTAATAAGAAAAAATCAAGCAATTTTTGAAACTGTACAAATCCAGCAAATATGTAGCATGGATGTTGTGCTCAAACTATGGAAACAGAACTATAATATTTAGGGTAAAAGATGTCGGTATATCTTCATATGATGAAAACCATTATATAATCATTTACGTATTATTACATGTGTAGCGTATCATCAGCGAACAAAACATCTTCGTACAAAATTAGAACATCAGAATCATAGCAGCACATTACTGATCACACGGGTAAATTTCATCAAGAATTAATCAATTACGATTTGAAATTGAAATTTTGATATTGATAGATTATTTGGCTAGCAAAAAAGATCTTGTTGAATATTTTGAACAACATTCACATAATACAGTGGTACCTAGATTGATTGAATTAAGGCTGCTGTTAAACATTTAATCGAGTGGATATCTTCATTGTTAAGACATTTTTTTCATGTATAAATCGAAGCATAACTGTAAATCAAATACATTCAATATAATTGACTATATCTACAATGTTGACATCGTCCAGGTGGCAACAGTTTATATTCCATATATTGAGGTAAACAAATTCTACTGACATCTATCGATGTGAAATATGAACAATGAAACCAAATGAAATAAAAAACAACACAATGAAAAATTCATCAATTTATCATCATTTCATGGATGAATAGAAAAAATGTGGTCAAGGGATTCTCGATTTTTATTGGTTAAAAATCACAAGTAAAATTGATGAATAATAAGAGATAGATAGAGTTGTATTGTTGTGAACAAAAAAAAAAAAAAAAAAAAAAAAAAGAAGAATTTAAGCAACTCATTCATAAAATATTTTGTGTTGTATGTGAATTGAAACAAAAAAAAAAAAAAAAATAGAGTTATTGCGATGATAAATATAAATAAAAATTCAAAATAAAAATTAAATCACATTTTTTTTCAATTCATATTAAAATAATAATCATTGATAATGGTAGTATTGATTTTATTTTATAAAATCAACAAATCTACCACCACCACCACCACTGGCAAAATTATTGTCCATTTTTTCTTTGAAATTTGTACCGGTTAAACGTTCACGTTCAAATATGTCACGAAAATTAGCCACCTGTGTAATACTAAATGATAATCGGCTAACAGCATTCAATAGACATGTAATTTCATGATGACTTAAACGTAATTTTTCAATATCTTTTGTTAACATTATTTTGAATGCTGTACCAAGACCATTCGTTTGTACTTTACCCCAAAGACGACATTTGTCACAGGATATACAATCCATTATATTGAATGTTATATTATTGAATACATAACCTAGTTGTTCAGCAATTGGTTGACGTTTAAATAATAATTTTTCATCAAAATGCCATCGAAATAATCTAGAGGGTGTGAAACAAAACAATTGTAATTATTGTTAGACAAATAACAAATTCACATTTACCTTTCAGTGCTAAACAAAGCATTAATGGCATCTTTAGCCTGTACCTGATCACCAATTAAATTCCATTGAATTTTATTCAATAAATATGGTTGAATTCGAAATAATGCACGTAATTCAATCAGATATGTAAGGAATAGATTTTTAAGGTAATCATTATGACCTTTTTTTAAAAAGAAAAATAATTCAAATTAATTAAAAATTGAATAAAAGCATACTCATTATTCACATTATTATTACCATAGAAACGTTTAAAATAATCTTTTGGATTTGGACCAAAATGATTTTCAAATTTATGATGTATAGCTGTTAGATGTATTGTAATGGATGTATGTAAACCGGAGATGATACGATAGAAAAAACGTTCTTCATAGCAACCAATATTATTATTATTCGAATTCATCAATGTTAATATATTATTTTGTTGCTGTTTTTTCATTGAAAAACAATTCTCTTCATAAATAGCTCTCCATATTTGATTACCATCATATCCTATAGGATTTTTTATGGTCAATAAATGAAAAAAAATAATGATTGATTATAAAAACATACCTGTAAAACGTTCAGGATTCAATACAAGATCATAATATTGTGATTGTTCACTATCATCACGACTACATTCGAAAAGACGGTTTAACTCATGTACATTATTCTGTTGTAATGTTTGATCTAATTTCGATAATTCTTTTGGTGAATTAGTTGGACAATTTTCATCTAAAACTATTTGGAAAAAAATAATTTCGAATTTGTTAAAACAAGAATTCGAATCGAATGAAACAGGTCAAACTTACCAAGATATTCTTTGGGCAATTCCGATCGGTCACAGAATTTAATATTACATCCACTAATAAGAAAAAAGTGAAAATGATTAAATTCTAAATGAATCATAGAATAATAACAAAAACATACATTTTTGTACAGGAAAATGTATCCGGCCATAGAAAACAATGTCGTTTCAGATTAAATTTAACAAATTTGAATGGATTCAATTTAACTAATGATAATATTCTTGGTGCAAAATGATTATTATTAAATCTTGATAATTCCGTCAAATTAACCGTAATGTTTTCGATGGTCGCAAAATCATCCAATGTGGAATTGAGAACATTATCAATGAATCGTACCATAGCATCGGGATCATAATCATCTTGAATGGTTCTTTTTGTTGCACTTGTCGCCTGACTATGTTGTTGTTGCGGTTTTTGTTTTTTTCTTGAATTTTTTATCATTGACTCAGTAGTGGGAATTTTTTTGATAATTTGATCATCATTTGTTTGTTGAACATTCGTGAATAATAATAGATCATAATAATGGAATAATAATGCACAGATTAAAATCACTGATGATATAAGTAAAATTTTCCAGGGAATTTTTGTCGAATAATTTTTCATTTTAGTACAGAAAGATTTCACCACATTCACACCATCTTTTTTTGTTGTGGTCATTGTTGTTGTCGTGGTATTTGATGAAAATCCGTTTGTCGTTTTATTTTTCATTGTTTTTTTTCATTACCATTATATGTGGCCATATACATTTAATAAATTTTAAAAATAATTTCAATACTTTAGCACCGTAAATGTAAATAAGAAATATATGACATTTGAAAAATCCGGTTATTATTATGATGATATGCTTGAATGAATTACGATGACAATGATGATGATGATGATTATGTGTACAGATAATAAGTTAGTTTTTTGTTATAATTATGAAAAAAAAATAGGTGACATTTATTTAAATTGCTGATGCAATAATCTATTGAAAGATGGCTGTTTTTTTTCTCTTATGATAACGTGTACTTTGTATGATTGTTCAATTGTTGATCACCATCACTACATCATCATTCATTCATTCTTTAATATGATAATGATGTAAACGTTTTAAATTGATTTGTTTGTACATTATTTTTAATATTTAAATTGATTTTATCAGAGAAAGAGACAGAGAGAAAAAATTCTTAATCTTAAATTTATTTATGGTTGTTGGAGGAGTAGAATGTGTTTGAAAATTAAATTCAAATGTCTGATGTCATCTGTGTGTTTAATCACATACAACACATACACAAACAGTGAGAGAGAGAGAGAGAAAAATAAAATAAAATTCTCTTTAAAAAATATTACGACACAACCATACTCAGTAATGTGTATGTAGCCGATTATAAATTTTTTCCAGGCGCATTCGAAAATTGTCTTCGAAATTCATCCGAAAAAAAATAAATAAAGCAAAAAAATCTAACGAAATCAAATTTCTATAATCCTTATATTTATTGCGATTTTAATTCTGTTGTTGTTGTTGTTTTTGTTATTGTTGTTCTTGATTATGTTATCGGAAAAAAATAGCACAGAAGAAAATTCACAAATCCAATCAAAGTAGTTTGTGTTGTTCACACATGACACATTCGAATAAAACTTGATCCAAACAAATCTTTGTTTTTTCACCATCATCATCATCATCATCGAATCAAATCGGAAAGAATATTGTCGTTGTTGTTAGAACTTAGTGCATCACTCTCCCAAGAAGCAACGAAAATAGGCATGAGTTCATTGATAAAATTATCATCAATCAAAAGTTTTTCCAGTGAAAGTCATGTATGTTAAGTTTAGTATTTATATTTTTCTTTCTATCTCTTTTTTTATTCACTTCTGGTCTCCAAAAATAGTGTAAAACTCAACAATTCTTGATTCTTATCATGACAATAATTTGTTTTTTTTTGACATTCAAACTATTTTCTTTTTTTCACTTACAGAAATATCCATCTCGTAATTTATTGAACATCGTTGATGATAACAACGATTCATCACCATCATCATGGAAATGTAAGCATTGGTCAGATTATTGTTGGATAATCATTGAACTATGTGAACAAGCAATAATTGATATGATTGAAATAAAAAATGATTGTTCAGCATTTATCGAAATATTTTCATCAACAACGGGCGATTCAAATGATTTTAAGGTATTCATCACCAATAATAATAATAATATAATGATGTATTCGTAATCGATATTAGCCAAAATCATTATTATGAAAGAAAATCTAAACTATTAATCAAAAAAAAAAAAAAAAAAAATTAGCTTCGTTATAATGAATATAATAATAACCAGCATCACCAACGGAAAAAAATAGCAATTCTCATTCCATTTCATTATTCTTTGAATTTTTTTTCATTTTTCTGCTTTCATGGTTATTATTAACAGGTCCTGTTACCAGTATTTTCTTCACAATTACCATCAAATTGTCGGAAACAATCATTCAACAATCAAAATGAACGATTCAAATTTACAACTAAACAATTCATGTCCACCTCACGATCATTACCATGTAAATTTATCAAATGTGTCTGTTCACAGCCATACAATAAGGTATTTGATCTTTTTTATTGAGAAAATTTTTAAAATTTCATCGATAAAGTGATATATATTTTTTAATGTTTCATTCTTTTGATATTTATGTAGAATATCTGTTATGGTATAGCCAGTATAAAAATTTATGGTCAACAATTTCAAGAACATAAAAATAGTGATAGTGCTGATGCTGTTCATGATGTTGATGATGATGATGATGATGGAAAAAAGAAACCATTATGGATGAAGAAATTTAAATTTTTTGACAACAAATTGACCATGGTTGATGATGAATATTTTGCAATGAATTTCGATCATTCAAAATTGAAACAACAACATCAGAAGCAACAACAACAATCTAATTCAAACGTTACGACGATCGATTCAAATAAACAAAATATTGATAGCAAAATGTCATCATTATCAAAATTATCGGCAGAAATTAAGCCAAATCTCAAAACATTACCATTAAATGATGATGATGGTAATAATAAAAATGTTAATGTCATTGAACAATTATCTAAACCATCGACATCAACATCATCAACAAAAGCAGGCAAAAAACGTAATCATAATGATGATGATGTTCAACAACAACAATCATCGATAAAGATAAAGCCAACGAAAAAGATTAAAAAACCATTTGAAAAATTATTCGATAATGTTGTTTTTGTATTGAGTGGATATCAGAATCCAATTCGTATGGAATTAAAACAGAAAGCATTAGCAATGGGTGCTCATTATAAACCGGAATGGAATTCAAATTGTACGCATTTAATGTAAGTATTTCTTTTAATGAGATTTTACTTTCTTTCATCGTTTACGACGTGATCTTGTTGTTTTCATTATATTTTTCTTAATTATCATTGTATATTGAATCAAGAATCGACTTTTTCAATTTATTTAAATTTGGTTCTTAATTCATTTTGTTTTGTTTTTTTTGTTCTTATTTTTTCACCCTTCTATTATTTCCTGAAATAATATAATATCTTAATTTAAATCGACTATATCGTAGATGTGCATTTGAAAATACACCAAAATATCGACAAGTTAATCATCTTGGTGGAAAAATTGTTCGAGAACAATGGATTAATGATTCATATGATCAACGTAAACGTTTATCATGGCGAAAGTAAGTAAGCTGTCATTATAATGATTTGTTTAAAAAAGGATTTTTTAAATTATTATTCTTGAGAAAGAATTGATGTTTTTTTGTGATTTTTTATCTCTCTATTTATTATCCACTTTTTTCTCACTGAGTAATTGATCATTCGATTTGTATTTGATCGTTTTTTTTGTCTGTTTCTGTGTTTGTATTATTCTTTGATTTTGTTCATTTCATTTCATTTTTTCTTTCTTAAATTGTACAAAAGGCACAAATATTCTAGCACTATATTTTATGTTATTATTGTTTTTTTTTCAATATATATTAGCTATTTGTTGGGAAAGTTTATTGGAAATGATGACGATAACGATAGTGATGATGTTGATGATAAAGATTTCAATGGCCGTAACAATAAAGCTACCCATAATAATAATACAAATAGTATTAATATTAACAGAACAAAGAACCGAAAAGATGATGGTCAAAATTTTACTGATGAACAACGGCCGTACATCAATAACAAACAAACTGCTGCTACATCAATGAAAATGGTGATGGAGACGAATAAGAAAAATATTGTGGCAAATGCTGATTATGATAGCGATATTATTTATGATCTTGAAACTGAAGATGATGATGATGATGATGGCGAAGAGTAAATGAAATGAAAAAACACTGGATGAGTTTTTTTCCACCGAAAAAAAAAAAATAAAATCCATTGATGATAGTGATGGTCATTTTTTTCTCATCACAAAACTAATGGACCTAAAGACTTTATGATTAGTGATTAATTGACAATTGTACCATGGAACAAAATCATCATCATCATCATCATCAAACAACGCAAATTTCGTAATATTGACCGGAAAAATTTTCGACAAATTTCTTTCATCCATTCTTTATTATTTATTTTTCTTTTGTTGTCATTGTTTTTATTTATCGGATAGATAAAAATCCAATCGATTCAAAGATAAAAAGTAATATTTCTATTTCTATTTTTTTTTTGCTTTTGTTATCATATATTTTCTTCATTTTGTTCATCATCATTGAAATTAAAAATCCTAATTCAATGCTAATAATTATATGGTTATGGTTATTATTACTAAAGAAAAAAAAATAGGAATTATTGATTATTGGAATTCTTTCTTTGATTTTTATTTAGCTCGTTCATAATCTACACAATGATGACCATATATATATATTGATATTAATACAGTTATATATATATATTTATCGGCTAGGCGTTCATCATCATTCGGTTATATATTATGTTATGTGTACATAGTTCAATCGATCGGTCGATCTCAATCCACATGGATGTATGATTTTTTTTCTCATCTAATATTTCTATTGTCATCGATCCATCAATACCCTGCCACCAAATCGATGATGATGATGATGATGATAATGAAAAAAAAAAAAAATTTGAGCCCATCCTTACTGTCTGTAAATTTTCTAAATAAATATGATAAAGTTACATATTGCAGATCATCATTGTTGCTATTGCCAAATATTTTCACAATTGTCATATACGATGATCTGGATGATTTCGATTTTATTGTTGGCTATTGATTCTATGTACTTAAACCACGTTAAAAAGTGTATGTATCTAATGTGTGTGTCTGTGTGATCGATTTGAATGTCCATTGTATGATGTGCAATATGTTTTTCATCAAACATTCATCATTACCATCGCCATCATCAGAAATGGGAAATGCAAATTTGTTGACACATGACCTTCAAAAAAAAAACATCGTATGCATTATAATTCAAATTGAATGTCAATGTTAGTAATCATAAAGTATACTGAAGATGATGATTTTCGATAATGATATTAAAAATTTGAAATTTTTCTCTCTTTTTTTGTTGTTATTTTATCAATTCATTGATGTTATTATACATTTTTCGTTAACTAAAAAAAAACAAAAAAACAAATGATGATGATTGAATTCCATTAGCCGTCCATCAGAAAACTTTTTGCATTGCTATGACTCACTATGGTTGCTTTTGTGTCCAGCAGAAGGCGCGATTATCCAAAAACAAAACTGTTTTTTTTATCTCTTACTGGTATGTTATCCATAGATAATCTCTAATTTGTGTCTATATTCTTTCCATTCAATTCGTATACAACGTTGGATGAAAATTTCAAATCAATCGGTCCAATAGTTTTGGAGATTTTAGTCATTAAACACAAAAAACGTTTTACATTTTTATATACGTGTTGACCATATATATTTGATTTATTGATTGATTGATTCGATTTTTTTTTCTGTTTCTTTTCACAATTGTATTTTGAGATTATTTTGATTTTGTTTGTCTTGCCACGTAGTAGTAGTATTGATGGTGGTGGTGGTGGTGGTGGTAGGTTGTGTTCTCATTATCTTTACACAATTTGTCCTTTTTACGATTCCAATCAATTATTATCATTTAATTATTTATGAAAATGAATGGGATTTTTCCTTCCCTTCACTTTCACTCGCACTAGCATTGGTGATAAAATGGTAACAACAAAAAAAAAAATTCCGTGCAAGAATATTGACGAATACTGATAATGATTGTGTAGCAATTGAAGCCGGGCATTTTTTTAAAGGTAATTTTTTTTCCAGCAAATCGATTGTTTTTCTTCGATATACGTCACACATACACATTGTTACAGATACAGAATAACCGTATTCGTTGTTAATGTCGGTATCGGTCAAGGTTGATTGATTGTGTGTGTGTGTGTGTGTCTCTGCAACGAGGAAACCAGGTTTTTTTCTACCGGTGTTATACTCAATAATATTAATTGTTTTTTTCTTTTTGTTTTTGATGTTTTTTTTCTGTTCACCTATGATCTATGATTATATCGTGTATATTTGCGTGTATTTGATCATATAAAATTCAAATTATTAAATGAAAATCAAAGATTAATTAGATTAACTTGAATTAAAAATGATTGATTCAGTAATTCCATCGAATCATATCATTTAGAAATCTAGAACAACAACAACAACAAAAAAATTTGAATTCTACAATTCTTCATAATTCATGGAAAAAATGTACAATTTTGTTCAGTTGAATACATGGAAAAAAGTCAATTAACAACCATTCGCGGATGGAATTATTGGAAATTGACGACGACGACGACGACGACGACGACGGAAAAAAAATTGCTTACTGAAAACTCATTTATTACCTAATGAATTCCACTATGGTTTGGTTAAAGGTTGTATAAAGGTTTTTTTTTGTTTGTTTCGTTGTTTTCAAACAACCAATGACCAAATAGAAATTCTCTATTCTTGGTCTCTTGATAGCCATTATAGACATAATATTTTCTTTTCATTCTCTCTTTGAGTGTAAAGCTCAAGAATTGTGTTCACTGGTTTCAATGTAATGGTGGCTGCTGTTGATTATAATTATAGTTTTTGTTTCCTGTTTACTACTAAAATTCATTCATTGGATGAGATTTTTTTTTCTCTTTAATTTCATGTAATTCGTAGGTTGTTTGTTGTTTTTTTTTTTTAATTAGGCGAGAGAAAAAAAAAATAACATCGAAATTAATTTTATTCTTTTTTTTCTCAGTCAACAGAACCAAAAAGATTTACCATCGATGTGTGTTGTTTTTTTTCCAATGAATGACATCATTATTTAAATTTGAAATTTGAAATGAAAGAAAAAAAAATCGACAAATACACACACACACACACACACACAAACATTGTAAACAACTACAGAATAATGTTGATAATGATAATAATGACGGAACATACACACGTACACACGTTGAAGTTTTAAATGCAAAAAAAAAGAGTTAATTTTTTCAGTGACAATTTTTGCATACAATTCAGCAATGGAAATCGAATTTTATGCTATAGGCCAAATTATTATTGTAATTTTGTTGTTGTTGTTGTTGAAAGATAAAATTCGTCAAATTAATTTCATTTCCAAAACATATTTTTGACATACATTGTTCATATACATCATATATGGATGAGGATGCAAGAATTTTTTTTTTCTTTTTGGCATTCTGTTCCAACTTTTTGGAGTAAACATTTTTTTTCTCTATTCTATTTTATTTTATTCTATTTTTAAAAATAATTGAATCTCTTGGAAATGAAATGAATTTATAATAAAATGTGATGATGAACGTGCCGAATAAATAAATTTTTTTAAAATTTTTTTTTCCAAAATAAATAAACATAAACATAATTTTCTTTTTTTTCAATTCTAATGATGATGATGATGATGAAGATTCGAATAATTTTGTATTCATTATGAATAATCGAATAATAATAACATGAGGTTAGTGTGGTTAGTGTTTCCACATTTCATTGAACGAAATTTTTGTTTTGGTGAACAGAAAACAAAAAAATTTAGATAATAAAATGAATATAAGAATTATTTTAACAAGAATTTTAAATTTGTTTTATCTTTTTGTTTCATTCAATGAACAAAAAAAAACATCGTCATAATCATAAGTGAATTGATTTTACAACAGGAATTTCCTTTGCCTTTGTGTGTGTGTGTGTGTGTGTGTGTGTGTGTGTGTGTGTGTGTGTGTGTGTGTGTGTGTGTGTGTGTGTGAAAACCACAAACTCTGGAATTCATCAGAATTAGTATCGAAAAAAAATATTGAAAAAATTGATTAGATTGCACTTCAGATTCTTTTCTGAACTTTTAATTTCAAGAGAGAATTTTTGATGATGATGATGATGAAAGAGAAAAAATTGGAAAACTTTGAATTTTTAATAATCCAAGCACTTTTTTTGAATTAAAAAACGTAATAAAAAACCAAAAAAATAAAAATAAAAGTTAAAAGTTCGATGAGATTTTCATCATCATCATATGATTAAATTGCTGTTGCTCAACATTCAAAATCATATATGATCAACATCACCCTTGCTTTGATCTGAATTTTAACTTATTTGGATTCATAAATCGATTCGAATCACTGAAAACAATGAGAGAGTAGTATATTATGAATGTTTTTATAAACTTTTATAAAATGTCAAACATTCCACACATACACACAAAAATTGGAATGAAATGTGTAATGATAGAATAGAATTTCTATTATAAATGTTATTTTATGTAAACTGAGTGTTAAAATAACAATTAACGATTTCGTGGGAAAAAAAAGAAAACATGATGATAATCGAATTGGAATTTTTTTTCTCCTAATAAAATCGTAATGTTGATTTGCTCTTTGTGTAATAATAATAATAATAATTGATTATACGAATCGATAAATAGCATTTTTTTTTTTGTTATCATCATGATCATCAAGCCTTTATTGAATTCCAGGAACAGTGTCCCTTTTTTTGGCTTTTAATTATACCAACGTTTTTTTTTCCTATCTCAATATAAACAATCAATAATTGTTCGATGGCAATAAAATCCACGTTTGAAATGTTTATCGATTTTTTTACTCCTTGTGTTCTATCCATGATTTTTGTTGTTGTTCTTTATGTTTGCAATGATTTAAATTTTTTTTTCTACTTTTCACATTTTTTTTTTTTTTGATTATGACAAATTGTTTCCACGGAAAAGAGAAAGTGAAAATGAAAATAATTTTCATTTTAACTTTTTTTTAACGGTCATATATATCGAATATAATAGATTGAATTTCGCCTTGATGTGTCCATTTACAAAAAAAAAAAATTTTTAATTTTAAAAATAGAAATTCTATGGAAAAAAATCCATGTCCATTCAATCCATTACTAGACCTATTAGTGATGAGCTATAAAAAAAATACGTAACAGGAAAATAAATAAAGGTCTCTTTTTTTTTGAAAGAAAACATCTCAATTCATCTTTTTCCTTTTTCTTTTCATTCGTTTGTTCATTGATGGATTCTATTTTAACAAATAACAACAACGACAACGAGTAAAGAATCAAAAAGTTCATAGATCAAATCGAACAAATAAAAACACACACACACACACACACAAAGATAGAGATTGTAATTCGATATAGTAACTAATATTTGTTTTTTGTTCTGTTTCATAAGTTCCATT